AGTTATAGGGGTGGTATACTTCAGTATTGGTACATTGGAGTAAGACTGGCCTGATGCAAGATGACGTAGAAGTTAGGGGCAGTATACTTCAGTATTGGTACATTGGAGTAAGACTGGCCTGATGCAAGATGACGTAGAAGTTAGGGGTGGTATACTTCAGTATTGGTACATTGGAGTAAGACTGGCCTGATGCAAGATGACGTAGAAGTTAGGGGCGGTATACTTCAGTATTGGTACATTGGAGTAAGACTGGCCTGATGCAAGATGGACATTAGAAGTTAGGGGACTGGTATACTTCAGTATTGGTACATTGGATTGGAAGACTGGCCTGATGCAAGACCAAGATATACTTCAGAGCTGGACATAGGATATAAATAGGTATCATAGGGATATGGCTGTCGACCTTCCATTTACTCTGTTCCTGTATCAGAATATTAGCACATGGGAGCAGAAATTGACGGCACTGACCTCGGGTAATGACAGTTGTGTCAAATTTGTATGGTGTGTCTGTCAATAACAACACTTGACATTCTGTCAGGTGAGATAATGCCTGACATCTGACATTAAAAACAACAGTTCTCTGTAGTTCCTCCAAAACAATGAAGAAACAAGAAGACAAAGTCATCAATATCCCCACACAATGGCAAAATACTCTTCATGATTATGTCTACGAGTTATAATTATGTCAAATATTTAGGTGTGTATAAAGAAAAGTGGAAGGAGAGTATTGAAAGGTTTTTAAAGTTCTGCTCCAGAAAGGAGCACTATCACCAATTTCAGTCTATGTCAAACTTGTTGCCATGGAAATGCCAAAAATATTTTATTCAATATTCCAAAACTACCAAAAGGCACCAGTACACCACCAGACCTATCTATGTGCCAAGTTTAGTCAAGAAATAGTGAACGGTTTTAGAGTTCTGCTCCAGAAAAGACAAATGTGCACGGACGGACGGACAGACACGGTTGCACGGACGGAGTCCATTTTAATACCCCCCGCAAAACTTTGGTGAAGAAATAGTGAACGGTTTTAGAGTTCTGCTCCGGAAAAGACAAATGTGCACTGTTGGACGGGGTCTATTTTGACACACACACACACACACCCCATAAAACGTGTTGCGTGGGATAAAATATAGTTTATTCAGAATTCCAAAACTACTAAAAGGCACCAGTACATCACCAGACCAATCTATGTGCCAAGTGTGGTGAAGAAATATTGAACGGTTTTAGAGTTCTGCTCCGGAAAAGACAAATGTGCACGGACGGACAGGGTCTATTTTGACACACACACACACACCCTCCCTCGCAAAACGTGTTGCGTGGGATAAAAATATTTTATTCAGAATTCAAAACTACCAAAGGCACCAGTACACCACCAGAAATGTGCAAGTTTGGTGAAGAAATAGTGAACGGTTTTAAAGTTCTGCTCCAGCACTATCACAATTTCAGTGGTGTCAAACTTGTTGCCATGGAAATGCCAAAATATTTTATTCAATATTCCAAAACTACCAAAAGGCACCAGTACACCAAGACCTATCTATGTGCCAAGTTTAGTCAAAAGAAATATTGAACGGTTTTAGAGTTCTGCTCCAGAAAAGAGACAAATGTGCGGACGGACGGACAGACACACGGACGGAGTCCATTTTAATACCCCATAAAACTTTGGTGAAGAAATAGTGAGCGGTTTTAGAGTTCTGCTCGGAAAAGACAAATGTGCACTGTTGGACGGGGTCTATTTTGACACACACACACACACACACCCCATAAAACGTGTTGCGTGGGATAAAATATAGTTTATTCAGAATTCCAAAACTACTAAAAGGCACCAGTACATCACCAGACCAATCTATGTGCCAAGTGTGGTGAAGAAATATTGAACGGTTTTAGAGTTCTGCTCCGGAAAAGACAAATGTGCACGGACGGACAGGGTCTATTTTGACACACACACACACACCCTCCCTCGCAAAACGTGTTGCGTGGGATAAAAAATATTTTATTCAGAATTCCAAAACTACCAAAAGGCACCAGTACACCACCAGATCTATCTATGTGCCAAGTTTGGTGAAGAAATAGTGAACGGTTTTAGAGTTCAGCTCCGGAAAAGAGCACCACCACCAATTTCAGGCTAAGTCAAATTTGTTGCCATGGAAATGCCAAAAATATTTTATTCAGAATTCCAAAACTACCAAAAGGCACCAGTACATCACCAGATCTATCTATGTGCCAAGTGTGGTGAAGAAATATTGAACGGTTTTAGAGTTCTGCTCCGGAAAAGACAAATGTGCACGGACGGACGGACACACGGTCGCACGGACGGAGTCCATTTTAATACCCCCCGCAAAACTTTGGTGAAGAAATAGTGAGCGGTTTTAGAGTTCTGCTCCGGAAAAGACAAATGTGCACGGACGGACAGGGTCTATTTTGACACACACACACACCCTCCCTCGCAAAACGTGTTGCGTGGGATAAAAAATATTTTATTCAGAATTCCAAAACTACCAAAAGGCACCAGTACACCACCAGATCTATCTATGTGCCAAGTTTGGTTAAGAAATATTGAACGGTTTTAGAGTTCTGCTCCGGAACAGAGTACTACCACTAATTTCAGTGAAAGTCGAACTTGTTGCCATGAAAACGCCAAAACTATTGTATTCAGAATTCCAAAACTACCAAAAGGCACCAGTACACCACCAGATCCATGTATGTGCCAAGTTTGGTGAAGAAATATTGACAATTTTAGAGTTCTGCTCCGGAAAAGACAAGTGTGCACAGACAGACGGACGGACGGATTCCATTTTAATACCCTCCGCAAAACACGTTGAGGGGGATAACAAGAACAAGAACACTTGCTACGTGGAAAAGTAAATATACACGGTTAAATTTGAATCAAAGAGACTATGAGGTGATGTTGTAGTGTTACGTGTCACTGTATGCCAGGCAGAAAAGACAAACATAAATTTGACAACTGCATGGGCGGACGAAGCTTGGCCGAGTGTACAAATTTGTTCGCCGTTATGGTCGACACTTTCATGAACTCAGTGCTGTAAGCAGTGTAAATTTTAATCTGGTAATCAAACAAAGTTTTTGCGAGAATAACTGTTAGAGTGACAACATGGCTGTTATATCACCTAATAGCGATCTTGGTATCTTTTTCACAACAAAACGGATGTAGACTAAGTCACATATTATTTCATACAGCACAAGTGGACAAAGCTGTATTAGCTATAATTTAGCATTATTAGTTATTCATCTTTAACCTGGAGGTTTTTGTCTCATCTCTAGTATTTAATAAAAAAATGTCGCACCTCTTAAAACTTGTTATTTGAAATGAATACCCGGACAGTAAAAATATGGTGGGTATCAAAAGTGTAGATACTCACTTGAAACTGGAAATACCCACATAGTTTCAAAAGTATGGGTATCATACTCACATGGTCTAAAGATTACCTCTGTTTACCCGTGTAATATAACAATATTGGATATGCAGTGTACCTTAGTGCACAAGCATTCATAGTTTTAAAAGCTGCATTTATTATTTACAGTATTTATGTGTAGCCAACTACCGTAGTTATGGGATGCGTGGAGCATTACAATATCCACCACGAGTAGGAGATACTTGGTCATGAGTGAGTGAGTGAGTATGGTTTTACGCCGTTTTTAGCAATGTTCCAGCAATATCACGGCTGGGGACACCAGAAATGGGCTTCACACATTTGTGCCCATGTGGGGATTAGAACCTGGGACTTTGGCGTGACGAGTGAACGCTTTAACCACCACGCTACCCCACCGACCCACTTTGTTATGACCAACCATTAGAACTTTAGAGCCAATATTCTTGTTTGCTTACAGAATTCACTTTCTTCTCACAAGTTACATAAACGTGTCTATCAGAGTATCATTCTTACAAAAAGTGTTTAATGAATTCCTGGCATAAAGCTATTAACCCATGTGGTAAAAAAATAAACCTCCATTTTGTTAGTGTTACAGTATGTTTAACTGGATAACCGACTGCTTTATCTTAGACTGTGAGTGAGTTTAGTTTTATACCACTTTTAGCACTATTCCAGCAATCTCACGGCGGGGGACACCAGAAGTGGGTTTACACATTGCACCCATGTGGGGAATCGTACCCACATCATATTGTAGAGGTACTAATTTTCCTAAAGACATCTATTCTGTGCTATAGTGTACAACTATGGTACATCCTGTGCTCATAAGACCACAACAGTGTCACTAACTGAATGAGTCAGCGTTATTGTATGCTGGAGTGATAATCTGTCTTCATCACACGGACCTGCAAATATGTGGGCCTGGGCCACACAAACCTATACTTGTCCTGAACATGACAGGCAATTTGTTCCATCCATAAGTGAATCATAACAAAATGTAACAGAACTTGACCCCAATATACAATTTAGTCACCTGTTTCACAAAGGAGGTACTAGCAACCTTTTCTGAACTGCACCGTGAGGTCAAACTAGAGGTATACAGTATGGTTAATGTACACTTTTATTTGATCATAGGATTGTAACTTGGGTTATTGGATCATAAAACTGCATTGATTCATAAAAGCAGCCAATAACAACAAGGTCCAAACTCCAAAAGCGTGTATGTCACACAGCGATTAAGCTTGACTTTCATGTCTTGAGTAAAATGTCATGTTCAGTGTAAAACTGAACAGTGACAAACATCTAGTTCATTTTACCCAAAATTTCATGGCATATCATTTCCTGATGTAAATGGATCAACTCTGTCAAATGGTAATCAGCGATGAAACCGACAATGTGAACGTCTGAGATGCAAGCGTTACTTGGGTATTTGGAGGGTATTTCATCGTTGTAAAACGTACATTTTGACAAAACACCGTAATATACTAAAAGATCTATTTAAAGGGCACCTGTCGAAAACAGGTGACCAATGTGCAACATTGCCGAGGATTTGTTGCAAGTTTGGGGCGACTAATTTCGGTGTCAATAACTTTTAAATTGTCCAAAGTCACTTACCAGTTGTAAAAAAGGTGTCAGTTGACCAGGCTCGAATGTTAATTTGGTATTCTTTTTAACTTTTAAGTTAATGATGTGTTGACAGCCAAATCATAAGCAACACATGGTTGCCGCCATTTTATTTCGTCTCACCTGCTATGTATTCGTCCGCTGAACTCACAAATGAGTGGAAATTTGTTTACTATCGAATTACAACTTTAATAATGAATTTCAGCTCCTGTGTGTTAGAGGTGGTTATGTGGAGCAGAGATAAAAGGTATATGAAATGTTTAATCCTTTAGAAAATATTATAAGTGATTATTTATACTGATGACAAATAGTCCGTGAGGTAGGAAAGTAGTGCATCTGGGCACCCAGCTCGCGAGAGTTTGACCGTAGCACTCCTTTGTCGGAAGGAGGGAGAAAATATAGTACCGTTTACCTTGTACTTTGTAAACAATTGAATTGGTCATCGGCCCTGCTTTGTTTCTCTATCAACTTGAAACGGTTGTTTAGACAATTCAGTAGACCCTAATTACAAGTACAGTGTGGTGGAACAACTTGACAGAGGATATGGAAAATACGCGTAAGAAAGTTGTCCGGTCCAGTTGTGTTTTTGTACTTTCTGAGTAACAGTATTTGTGATCTTGTTGATGTAGCCTGGGATTACCTGAGTTTCTAGCGGATAAGCAAGACAGATTCCTTGGAACGGTTCCGGAAGCTGTCTGATCATCACAATGGATAGGACTGATCTCGATTCGATCCAGAGTAAACTTAAACTGGCGATAAAGAACCATCAGGTACCGTGACAAACTTCTCCGACTATCCTGATGATTGATTATCTCGTCTACCACTGACAACTTTCATCACAAAAGTGATATGATTAGTATTATGATAGCTGTAGGGATTTGTTATGAATTCTTACTAGTTTTTTGTACGTTGCTTAACCTACGAGGTCTATTTTAAGTGAGTTTGACAGTGAAATGATGTTGTTTTGGTGCGACAGGTCGTCCAATAATAAAGCAGCACATCTTCTGTGTAGTGAAATTATGCGACCTTTCCAAACTTCATGAAGACTCAGGAAAGATGGAATCGGTGCAAGATTATAGTGTACATTTATTGTTATTGCAGATGCTGGTAGTGAAGATGAAAGCAGAGCCCCAGGTAAGGATGTTTATGTCTTCATCACTTGACCGCAAGCAGCAGCAACACCCCGAATCCCTTCTCTCTGTCTGCTCGCTAGCTACAAATTATTGATTTTTGTTGTCGAAACTTTTCGTGCGGCCATTTTCTCCAACTCTGTAGTCAGATTTATTATAGCTGACAAGCCAAATGTTTCTTTATTTCTACAGAATCAAGCAATGAAGACTAAGCTCCATGAACTGCAAACAGAGATTATGTCCCTCAGTGAGAAACAAGTGAGTATGGGGATGTTTTTCTGGACGTATCACCTTTGTTAGCTGAAGCTGTGCTTGGAAGTTTGGTGACCTACTATGCTAATGCATCAGGAATTTATTGATTTCTGCCTACATCCTTCAGTTTTGTCTTTTCACCAGAGGTGAACTTGTTCAGTGGCATCTTGTTGAGGATTGCTCTTATCCAGCTTGCGAACTGGGTTTAAACGTTTCTTAACCTTTTCCTGAAGCTCAGTCCAAGATGGAAAATTCTTGGACAGCATTCTGGAGGTTCCATATGTGAAAGTATTTGTAATTTATTCAGTTGGAAACTATTTTCTTATTTTATATATACTCACATGTTCTTTATTACATATGGGATTGATATCGAAAATCAACAGTACATTGCCACTCTGAAAGATTGTGGCAAAGTTCAATTTGTAAATTTCAGGATTTGTTTTGTCAAAAGTAAGTGTAAGAAATTTTGCAAGAGACAAATGGCAGGACATTTTCATGATCACATCAACTTTAGGAAATTTTAAAATATTTTCGGAAAATATTGCATCACCAATTGGTCATTGTCTCTGAAATTTTACTGAAACAAAATTTAGAAAGTAAAAGTGCTTAAGTAAATATCTATACTGACTGGATAAAATGTAGTTTATTCCTTTATATTTTGATGCCAAAGATTGGCTTTTTTCAAGCTGCACAATTTTTGGGACGGAGAAGAATGAATTGAAAAGAATTAAGTACTGTCTTTGCTGATGTGGACCCCGTTCCTCAAAGCAATCGTAGCGCTACGACAGTCATAAGTCTATGTTAAAGTATGGGAGTTACGACTGTCGTAGTGCTACGATCGCTTTGAGGAACGGCCCAGGCTGGAGTACATGTTAAATATCTGGAAAAGCTATATGATACTACATGATACTCCCACACTACCCCAAAATACTGAATATAAATCATGACAACCCATGACTTAGCTATACTGTGAACACAGGTTTAGAATGTGAATGCTAAGGTCTCAAAGTATGTGGCACACAACCTTTGCTTATGAGTGATAGTGAAATACATGCTCAAAAGTTTGTAAACTAAACCACTAGACATAGGAAATGGACATCAGTGTAGTATGAAAAACACAGTGCTTTACTTAAAACATTTGAAAACCATATTGGGCAAAATAATGGAGAATCCTTTTAAATTCTATTTAATGTGTTCTGTAGTATAAGAATGACAGTAATTTATTGACGCCAGTTAAAATGATAAAGAGGGGAAAACCCTTTTTGAGTGCAGTACTTACGTTTCCTGATCCTTTATTTTCAGGTAACATTGCAGATAATGCACTTTTTCTGGAGTGTTTTCTGAATGTTCATGTGTGTTTTCATAAAATGTGATACAATAATAAAACAACATATAGTTGAAAACGACTAACTACATTTTATGATGTTCATGATTATACTGAAATGATGTACAAAAATCCTGTCATTCGTGGCTCACTGACAAAACCTCTTGCACAAGAGTGTTCACCTGAAACACAATATACTTCTTCTATTAGAAATTTGTATGGTAGGGCAAATTTCAGCTTCTTCAAAACCAGTCCATTTAAGCTCACCTCCTAGAGTGTTTCTATATACACTTTGTGAATGCAAATATATTGAGAAATTTCGCTTGCACCATACTGGAAAGGACTGTTTACATGATATTTGCTTCAATGAAATGATATTGAAAAACAAGTTTATGATTGATGGCATTGATATTCATGAGAAAATACACAAACAAAACTCTGCGGTATATTTGATTGACTTTCTGCAGTTTCTAACATTTATTGATGTATACATGCAAGGAATTTTCAAATCAAAAGAAAACCTCTTCCCCCCCAACATAAAGGGGCATAACTCTTCAGTCCTCATTTGTATGTGTAGTGAGCTGGTATAGTTTTTTTGCCACTTCATATTCATGAATATTCCAGCAATATTATACTGGGGGACACCAGAAATTGATTTAGAGCAGTGTATGCCTATGTCGAGAATCGGACCAGGGTCTTACACACAAAGTTTCATCAATGAGTGACCTGATACTGCTGATCGTTGTATCTAATTTGTTGCATTTTTAACAGAAAAATGTAAACATTAGTGTTAGGAATCGGAAACCAAATCCACTATCGATTATCGGAGGATTGTGGTTAACGATTATCGATTATAATCGAAATATATACATTTTTAATGAAATCACCAATTTGAAGGGTTTTTCACCAGTTTTTTTCTAATAAATGTTTCTTATAACTAATACTGTCATGCAATGAACTGGAATTGTAATTAAATAATAAAAGTAGTTAAAAATTTTACAATGCGCATAGCTTTACGCTGTTGAGCGCATGTTTGTTCGTGAATATTCGTCAAATTTAATCGTTAAAGTACTGTCGGAAATAGAAAATGACTGTATTTTCTCATTTATCTCTACAATTTATGTAGTTGATACGTGCAAGTGTGAATTATCTGTTAAACTAAGTTCGGCCTAACTACAGTCTCAGTGATAGGGACATAGGAAACGTAGAAAAAGGACTTTACTGAGGAGAGATTAGTGCAGAAATGAGCAATGCTGTTTTTTTCTAAGTCCAAGACGATTTATTTGGAACAGACCATTGCTTTGTGTAAATTAGTGTGCAACGATATTGTATCACAAAGGACACTTTTTAAATGCCCAACTTGAAATAAGACGTAGCTTAATTATAAACGATAGCTGGCGTAAAAAATAATAACTTTCATGCTGAAACTGGGAAAGTACACGGCATGTCATAACAATTTACAAATAATATCCAGTCCTGACGATCTTCGCGATCGGGTGGTCATGCCACCTATATATTTTGAGACATTTAATACGATGCGTTTCTATGGTTATCAGGTATCGAACTCTTTTACATATCTCAACATAAACTTTATGAAAGTAAGACACATAAGATGTTAATCAATAAATGAGGCATAGTCAACACACATGAAAAAGCTCAAACTTTCTTTGAGATGACCCCTTGTGCCTGTAGGCAGCACATGCATTTCATGCCAGGTGAGTCGGCGGTCGGTCATCATACCTGGCTGAGCGACCTAATTGCCATCTATAGTCTGATCTATTGTTTTCAGCAGCTACAGGTATTTTTTCTAAGTTTTTACGAGTAAACATGCTTTTCTGGATATCCTGTTATGCATCCCACTGAATGCCAAGTTAGGCCGAAGTGGGTTATTTTGACATATGCTATTTGCAGTTGTGTAAATTTTAGGGATACAGAGTAACAGCCTAAAAACAGTTTTTTTCTATTTCCGACAGTACTTTAGTTTACTTCATTCAAGAGTGTTAAACTAAAACAACAAAATTCCAATTAATGGAAAATATGTTTTTTTTACAATAGATAATCATTATTAATCCTTCTTTTGATCGATTTTCTATCATCGGAACACCACTAGTAAACATGTTTTCTCTTTACCTTGTTGTCACCAGCTCTAATGTGCAGAAACTATGTGTGATCTGTTTACCAATGGTGAGATAGTAACAACACAAGTGCATACAGTTAGCATCCTGTATATAAGGCTGTTTGCAATATCTACAAGATGGCACTGCATTCAAACTGTTCCAATCTGAAAAGCTGTGTTTAATGCCTAACCGAAGAGTGTGCACAGGCAATGGGCAATGTTAACATATATTTGGGGTTATACTTCCTCGATAAAGTACCGGTTGTACTGCTTTTGGGGGTTCAGTCACAATCAGGATTAGAACCCGTACTCTCAATGTTAGGCACCTAATCGTCAACAATCGAGCCCACTTAGCCCTCGCAGCTTAAACAAATGGAAGTCTGACAGCTAGTAGTCTAGATCGCATCTAGATCAAACAAGGCCAAATAAAAAAAATGTTGTGGTTCCGAGTTCACCTCTTTAAAATTTAGGGTAGGTAAGTAGGATGGTTTTTTTTATAAACATAAAATTAGCAGTAAAGTACAAACTAATAACACATTTATCGATGTATATCGATATATTCCACTCACATATTCGGTGAATCGAACTCTATCCCTTCATGAATTTAGTTCATTGTTCGTGGTCACTAGAATTAACTAGTTACGAATATATTTATGAGAGTGTTTTTGTTTGGAACTAGTTTGTTGTTTGTATAAGTGAGATACGCAAAATGGAATATATCCAAGCCGCATAGTAGTGTAGCTTGTGTTATTTTACCAAGGCCCCTTACAGCACTGTTATTAGGCTATAAGAGAGATTGTTCACGATGTATTGCTTTTTTAAATAAAAAATCATTTGAAAGTTTCATCTTAAGTAATTTATGACACGTTTGTCATTTAAATTTTTTATATAAGGCATTAAGTATTCATGAATAAAGGGCTGACTCTTAAGTGTCCACAAAGGAATTCAAACATAAATTTGTTGCATGAAAAGTTTTTTGTCGTTCAGTGTTTTTTTCAGTTTTGTTTGTTACAAATCTGATATTTATCAACGATTGATAATTAGTTAATGGTTACTGATCTATATTAATAACCAGCCCAAACTACCCATCAACATCGTCGTCGTCATCATCATCAATAATGATAATAACTAACAACTGGGTAACTTCTGTAAACTTTGTTCAACAATGTTTACAGCTTTGGTATCAAGAGGGTATTCGAGCTCTTCATATTACAATGAGATTGATCAGGTCAATTTAAGGCAACATGGCGAAAGTTCTCAAAGGATTTAAACATATTTCTTCTTTTCAATTTCTGTGACAGTTAGACTAGCACCAGAATGATTCTGCAGTCTACATGTTAGGTATTTCAAACTGTATACATGTAGTTCTGCATCCTCACTTGTCTTTTAACACACAGGTACTAATCTGCCTCACGATTTGTGTAGTAGTTAGCCATTGGCATACATTGATTAAGCCATGTGTATATTCCGAGTTCAAATTCCTGATATTGCCTCACCGTCTGTACCTCCTAACCTGAAAACCTCGAACAAAGGCAGTGGTACTCTGCCTCCACTGCACGAAAGTCT